TACAACAGCCTTGTGCCATTTATTTTATAGACATGTTTACAAACGCTTTATAAAACTCATGTCTTATCCTAGATAATTTCTTCACAAACAGGAGAGTTGTTTCTGCTTAGAGTGTGTCATCTGATTCTACGTGTGTATTGTCATGTTTGATAAATCTATTTGGACATCGCACCTTCCTGATAATTTTATTGCTTATTTTTAAGACACCTGATATAATTAATCACTAACTTGTTGGCGGTTTATTGGCAGACTCTGGAATAAGGATATGTTCTGCATGATAAAATCCAAGTGGAAAGCTTCTATTTAGTGGATTCCTGTAGGATAGCTGGAGTAGAAGAAATTGAGTTGCTCAGTTAACTCGAGTTGTTTAAACCACTGACATATACTAATATGTAAGACAACTTAGACTAAAATTTATTTTTTATTTTATTTATTTATTGATTGATTGATTGATTGATTGCTACAGCACCGGCAGGAGGTGCCCAGGTCCCACCAAGTTCTGGTGCGTGAAAAGTGATTCTTAAAAGTGTCCATGTAGTCATTTATCATGGCGCAAGGTAGAGTCAGGCTATAGTCCCTCTCCCAGAAGGTGGCAGGTGTGAGAAAGCAGAATTAAAATACCCATTCCTGGAGAGGTTGGTCAAAGGATACGAATTTCAGTTAGGATGAATAAATTCTGGAGATCTATGGTGACTGTAGTTAAAAATAGTGAATTTTATACTTGGAAACTGCCAAGAGAGTAAATATTAAATGTTCTCATCACAAAAAATAAGTGGTGTGTGAGGCAATAGAAGTGTTCATTAGATTGATTTATTTTACAGTGTTAAAATGTAACATCACATTGTACACAATTTTTGTACACAAAATACATAAAATTCTTTTTATTTATCAATTATACCTTAATAAAGCTGGGAAATGAAAGTAAATTAAAGAGATGAAAAAATAAACCTTAGTTGAACATGTACACAAAAAAATACTTCCTCCTCAAATCCACACCCTCCCAGCCTGAGCTTCCCCTTCAGGCAGCAGTGAAGAGTCTGCCTTCCACTGGGACCCCCGGAATGTCACTGCCATCTGCATCAGCTCCTGTCCCAGTCCTTTGTTCCAAGTAGCTACTCCTGCAGCTGCTTGCTGTTTGCTGAAGGCTTTGCATCCCGGGTCTGAAAGATCAGGGACACTGGCTTCTTGGGTTTGCTTTGATGTTGACTTAACACATCTAGGGTTAACCTCTGGGATTTTTCTCTAAATCAAGAGACTATAGTACAGCTTTCCAAGTGTTATTCTGTAAAAGAAGCACCTTTTGAAACAGAGCTCATTTTTATGTGGCTCATTGCAGAAGCCTGAGCAAGGCGAAGTTGCCAATCAGGAGAGAAAACATTAGAACACGACGCCTGGTAGCCCAAAATAAAGCAGGGTGAGATGGTCCCAGAGCCACACTCTACACTCTACACTTTGGTATAACGGTGGTTAGGGTACTGCACCACGTACTCTTTTAGGAACCCCTAACAGTGCCTTTCTAAAGAACTTTTTTTTAATTGACAAAAATTGTATATATTTATGGTGTACAACGTGATGTTTTGATATATGTACACATTGTGAAATAATTAAATCAAGCGGATTAGCTGGGCACAGTGGCGCATGCCTGTGGTGCTAGCTGCTTGGGAGGTTCAGGCAAGAGGATCGCTTCAGCCCAGGAGTTCCAAGCCATTGTAGGCAACATGTCGAGACTCTGTCTCTTTAAAAAAAAAAAAATCAAGCTAATTAACATATGCATTACCTCACATAGTTATCCTTTTTTTGTGGTGAAGACACTTAAAATCTACTCTCTTAGCAAGTTTCAACACAATACATTGTTACAAGCTGTAATTACCAAGTTGTACCATAGAACTCTTGAACTGATTCCTCCCATCTAACTGAAATTTTGTATCCTTTGACTGATATCTCCAGAAGGCCCCCCTCCCCGCTGAGGTAACCAGCATGCTTCTCTCTGCCTCTGCCAATTGGACTTTTAGATTCCACATGTGAGAACACGCGGTCTTTGTCTTTCTGTGCCTGGCTTATTGCGCTTCGCATAACGTCCTCCAGGTTCATCCAAGTCACGAATGACAGGATTTGCTTCTTTATGGACGCTGCTAGTATTCCATTGTGTGTATGTACCAAATTTTCTATATCAATTCATCTCTTGATGGACACTTAGGTTGAATCCAGATCTTGACTGTTATGAATCGTGCTGCAATGAACATGGCAGTAGAGATATTTCTTCAAGATACTAATTTCATTTACTTTGAACATATGCTCAGAAGAGGGATTGCTGGGTCATTTGGTAGTTCTATTTTTAATTTTTTGAGGAACCTTCATACTGTTTTCTTAATGGCTGTACTAATTTACACTCCCATCAACAGTGTACAAGGGTTCCTTTTTCTCCACATCTTCACCAATATTTGGGTGTCTTTTTAATGGGTCTTTGCAGTTTATAAACTTAGGAGGGCTGTCCGGAAAGTTTCCAGCCATTGTTAATATAACAGGAACGGTTACATGGCTGGATACTTTCCGGACAGCCCTCGTATAAATGTGTAAATAAATTTCTATGACACTGGAGTTCCACAGTGATCCTCGTTGCCAGCAGGCCTTGCTGATACCTCAACTCTGCAAAGTTTTAACCTTTATTTTCCCCGTATTTTGGATGACAAAGCTGAGGTCCTGGGACCTACTGGAGGTCAAATAGCTAATTATTTATTGGCAGTGCCAACTTGAACCTAGGCATTCCCTGTTATAGCTTCCATTGTTGTATCTGAAAACAAAGTAACAGAAATCCTTGCGGTTTGCAGAGTGCTTTTCATGTGCATCATTTTGTAATCCTCATTTTCCAGGTAAGTGCAGAAACCCTGCATTTTAAGAAAAGCACCACGAAACAGCTCCCTGTTGGGGCCTATTGTGATTTTCTTTGCTCACCAAAACTGAAGTGGACGAAAGCCCCAGGCAGGTCAGGAGTTGTCAGCGCCAGGCCTGGCTGGCTTTGGGACACCCTTTTCTGATCTCTTTCAGTTCCACAAGATGCTTTCCTTCTTCAGGAAGAGACTATGAGGGACGCACAGCAGGTGGCCACTCTCCAGCTGCCCCCGGTGAGTGATTTCTACGAGTCTGCAAATCACATGTTTGCCTCTCTGTAAGCTCCAGGGCAGCCTTCCCAGGACCCAGCCAGCTTGCTGGCTGCTACACAGGATGTTCAGCCCCAGCCCATAAAAACTAAAACGAGCAGGACGTGAGCTTACCAGACACCCTGTCCCTCCTCCTGCCCTCATAGTCCCAGCCGCTCTCTAGGCCGACTGTGAGGCTGTCTTCAGGAAGCTTGGTGCAGACAACAATGGCAGAAATCAGAGGCCCTTAGTCCCTATCACTTGACCTCTCAGAATTTCTAAGTTCCCCTCCTATGAAAAAGGGAAACTTTTTGCTCTATTATTTCACAGGGTATTTTTAAATTTAATAATCATCACATTATGGCTGGGCATGATGGCTCACACCTGTAATCCCAGCACTTTGGGAGGCCAAGGTGGGAGGATCACTTGAGCCCAGGAATTCAAGACCAGCCTGGGCAACATAGGGAGACCCCCATCGCTATAAAATTTAAAGAAAAAAAATTAGATGGGCATGGTGGCACATGGATGTAGTCCTAGCTACTAGGAAGGCTGAGGCAGGAGGATTGCTTGAGCCTTGGAGTTGGAGGCTGCAGTGAACTATGATCATGCCACTGTGCTCCGGCAGCCTGGGCGACAGAGCGAAACTCTGTCTCAAAAATAAAAATCATCTCATGAATAGCTGTATTTCAGAAATGTTAGGAAATGGAAGGAATAAAACACAGATAATTTCAGTGCTGTCACAGAACCATGCAGTGGGCTGTTTGGGAATTTCCCTGGTGTGTTCCCGTTGGTGTCTCTATACACGGCTTGCTCTCGCAGGTGCTCCGAGGAGTCAGGCGGGAGCTTGTCCGGCAGGTGTCCTTACTCACCTCTCTCTAGCCCAGTTGCCACCTTTGGCCGTGCTTTCTGACTATATCCCCTTCATTTTTCCTTCTGACGCTTCCCACTGGCAGGCGTGTGTTTAGTTATGATGGCCTCATCTCCTCCCATGGGAGCAGGAGGTGTGGCTCCCGTTTTGTCTTGTTGCTCCTCAGCAGTCAGAAGACCGCGTGGTGCACAGTAGACTCACTATTAACGCAGCTCAACGGAATGTAGGAAGCTGAACAGTTTGCTTTCCACGCAGTTCATTTGATGTGACTTTAAACTTGGAGTGGGGAGAGCTGGGAATGGGCAGGAGTTCGCCGGGTTACCTGGGCTCCTGCCGTCTGCCCTGCAAAACTGCGGTGCTCACCCACACACCCCAATGCGCAGCACGCACGCGTCAGCGCCTGCTGTGCACTGTCGATGCAAAGGAGGAAAAACCCATAATTCTTACTAAAAATTGGTATTTTAGTCGGTACAGAACATAAGAGGATGCTGTGAATTTCATACCTAATAAGGTTTGGTGTCCGTCCTTGGGGTTTTGATAAATCGGTGCTTATGTATCACTCTTCTGAAGACCTAGTTTCTGCCTGGTACACTAAAGGTCATCATCATGGAGGTCTTGTGTTTTTAATTTTTATTTTTAATTGTGGCAAAATACATGTAGCATAGAATTTTCCTTCTTAACCATTTTTAAGTATACAATTCAGTAGTAAGTACAAATTGTTGTGCAACCAATTTCTAGAGCTTTTTATCTTTCCAAACTGAAACTCTTCACCCACTAAACAATAACGCCCCATTTCTCCCTTTTTCCACCCCTAGCAGTTCCCATTCTACTTTTAGTCTCTCTGAATTTGACTACTGTGGATGCCTTATGTAAATGAAATTATGAAGCATGTATCTTTCTGTGACTGCTTATTTCACTTAGCATAATTCCTTAAGGTTCATCTATGCTGCAGCATGTGTCAGAATTTCCTTTCTTTTTAGGTTGACTGACACTCCACTGTATGTATATACCACATTTTTGTTCGTCCATTTGCCTGTCGATAGATACTTGGGTTGCTTCCACGTTTTGCCTATTGTGAATAATGCTGCTGTGAACATGGGTGTACAGAAAGTTTTGTTTTTCTTTTTTATTAATAATTAACCTTTTTATTTTTAGATAATTGTAGATTCACATGCCATTGTAAGAAATAACACAGAGGGATCCCTTGAACTTTTTTACACTCAACGATAAAACATATAGTAAAAATCTATCTTGTAAAAATAGTACAATGTCACGACTAGAATATTGACGTTGACATGTACAAGATACAGAATATTTGCTTCGTCAGAAGGAGCCCTCCTGTTGCCTTTTATATCAACACCCACTTCTCTTCTACTCCCACCGTCTCATGAATCTCTGGCAACCACTAATCTGTTCATCTCTAAAATGGGGTTTTCAAGAATATTATATAAATGGATTCATATAGTATGTAACCTCTGGGGATTGGCTGTTTTCCTGCAGCATAATTCCGTTGAGCTTGACCCGGGTCAAACATGTATTGCTCGTCTATTCCATTTCATTGCTGAGTAGAGTCCGTGGTGTGGAAGTACCACCGTTGGTTTAACCATTCATCTGTTGAAGGACATCGAGGTTGTTTCCAATTTGGGGCAGTTACAGTATAAAGCTTTGTAAACATCTGTGTACAGGTTTTTACGTGAACATCAGTTTTCATTTCTCTGGGGTTTCTTGTTGTTTTTGTAGAGATGAGGTCTCACTCTGTTGCCCAGGCTGGACCTGAACTCCTGGCCTAAAGCCATCCTCCCGCCTCAGCCTCCCAAAATGGTGGGATTACAGGCATAAGCCACTGTGCCCAGCCAATATTTAGTTTTATAAGATACTACTCTATCCTTTCCCAGAGTGGCTGTCACTTTACATTCCCACCGGCAGTGCTAGAGTGATCTACATTCTCCACATCTGTGTCAGCATTTGGCGTTGTCGTTATTTTTTTTATTTTAGCCATTCTGATAGGTGTGTACTAATACATCTCATTGTGGTTTAAATTTGCGTTTCTGTAATGCCTGATGATGTTAAATGTCTTTTCATGTGCTTATCTGTCATCTCTATATCCTCTTCTGTGAAATGCCTTTTCACGGTTTTGCCAATATTCTGTTATTTTTTTCTTCCTCTATCTTCTTTTATCTTTCTTTTTCCCTTTCTTGGTATTGCCAGTATTCTAATTGGGCCATTTTGCTTTTATACTGTTGAGTTTTGAGAGCTCTTTTCATATTCTAGATACTCTTCCTTTGTTGGATATGTGTTTTGCAAATATTTTGTCCTACTCTGTAGTTTGTCTTTTTGTTTTTCGAGGTCAGAAGATATAATTTAGTATTTGAAATTTTTTAAATTGATACACTGTAGTTGTATATATTTATGGGGTACATGTGATATTTTGGTACAAATATACAATGTATAATAATAAAATCGGGGTAATTGAGGTATCCATCATCTGAAATATTTATCATTTCTTTGTGTTGGGAACATTCCAGATCTTCTCTTTGAGCTATTTTGAAACATACAATAAATTATTGTTAACTGTAGTCACCCAATTGTGCTATCCAGTGCTAGAACTCATTCCTTCCAACTGTATGTTTGTTCCCATTAATCAGCTTCCCTTTACCACCCCAAGGCGCCAGCCTCTGCTAACCACTATTCATATGGTTTGTCTTTTCATCCCCTTAACAGGGTCGTTAGCAGAGCAAAGGTTTTTAATTTGGATTAAGTTCAATTTGTCATTTTTTTCTTTTAAGGATTATGCTTTTGGTATAAAGTCTAAGATCTCTTTGCCTAATCCTAGATCTCAAAGATTTTATTCTATGTTTTCTTCTAGAAGTTACGTAGTTATACATTTTACATTTAAGTCCATGATACATTTAAGTCCTTTATCTGTGATCCACTTGTATTTAAGACCACCATCCATAACTTTTCTATAAAGTATGCCACTTAGATGGAGGTTCTTTCTTTTTTTTTTTTTTTTTTTGCCAGCGAATGTTTATTGCCAGTGCTCTAATAATGTTTGTTGAAAGGGTCTCATTCCTCCATTAAATTGCTTTTACAGCTTTGTCAAAAATCAGTTGGGCATATTTGTGTGGGTCTATTCTTCGGTTCTCTTTTCTGCTTCATTGATCTATATGTTTCCCCCTCCACTAATACCATACGATTTTGATTACTGTAGCTATATATTGTCTTGAAACTGAGCAGACTGAGTCTTACCATTTTATTATTCTTCTTCAAAATTATTTTACCTATTTTAGTCTCCTTGCCTTTTTGTGTGAATTTTAGTATAATCTTGTTCATATCTGTAAAAAGTCTCACTGAGATTTTGATACGAATTGCATTAAACTTGGATATCAATTTGGGAGACATTGGCGTTTTTTACTAACTTGACAGTGAGTGAATTTCTATCTGGGAATGTGGTATGCCTCTCCAATTATTTATTTCTTTGATTTTTTCCATCAGTGTTGTGCAGCTCTCAGTATATAATTTCTATACATGATTTGTTAGATTTATCCCTAAGTAATTCATTTTTTGAGCAATTGTGAATGGTATTGTGTTTTAAATTTTGATGTCAGCATATTCATTTCTAGTACATAGAAGTATGATTGGTTTTGTATGTTTATTTTGTATTCTGTAACTTTGCTGAATTTACAAATCAGTTCAAGGAGGATTATTATTACTATTATTTTCTGAGACAAGGTCTCACTCCATTGCCCAGACTGGGGTGCGGTGGTGTGATCACAGCTCACTGTAACTTCCAACTCCTGGGCTCAAGAGATCCTCCTGACTCCGCCTCTGGAGTAGCTAGGACTATAGGTGTGCACCACCACACCCGGCTAATTTTTTATTATTATTGTTTTTATAGAGACAGGGTCTTGCGACATTGCCCAGGCTGGTCTCCAACTCCCGGCTTCAAGCAAGCCTTGGACTCCCAAAGTGCTAGAATGACAGGCGTGATCCACCACACCTGGCCCAAGGAGAATTTTTTTAATAGATTTCTCTGATTTTGTTTTTTTAGACAATCATGTCATCTGCAAATAAGGAGAGTTTTCTTTATTTTTTTTACAATTTGTATGGCTTTATT